GGTAAGGAAGACATTGGAATTGCAGTCTTAATCTGAATTTAGGTACCAGGAAGGACGGGCTGGAAAAGTCACACAATCTAATTCTCTCAGATTGTATTAGATTGTGTGGCTTTTCCAGTCATTCATGGTGATTTGAAATATATACTCTCTCTCTCTTTCTCTGATAGAGAGAATTTGTGTGTGTGTGTGCGCGCGCATATAGTATTAGATTGTGTATACATATGCATGTATATATGTGTGTGTTTACTTTGGAGTAAGTCTCATTCAGTGCAATGAACCTTGCTGTTAATTAAGTGGTGTCACTACTAAGAAGGTCTGATACTTCAAAAAAGAGGGGAGCTTGCATCCTGAATGTACTTCTCTTTGGGAAGAAAATGCTGTTGTGGAGAGTGATGTCAAAGGCAATCAATATCCTAATCTATTTCCTTCCCCAATGAATGTCAATGAATTACAATTTTATCCTTGTGGAATTGCTCATATTCAAGCACCATTAGATGGGAAGCAAACCATGTACCTACCTACACATGATTCCTCAGCGGGTCAAACACAAAGAATGACAGCCAGGGGGCTTTCTTGGCAAGGACGTTATCCAAGAGCAGGGCAGTTTCAATGAGCGTCTAATTTGAAGTGTAGCTATTTTGCCACGGCTATGGATCCCCAGTTCCTCACTTAAAAATCTTAAATCCTTCTAGGTTTTCAGCGTAGGATATTCATGATGAAAGAAATCCCATTATCGTAGATAAGGTTTGCTGCTCCCAGGAAAGTGGGCCCAGGACTGCAGCCTTAATAACTCCAGGGGACTCATCCTAACTAGATTCCTGCGGTGTAAATCCCAGGAAACTCTGTGGGCTTTTCTAACCATGAAATGTGTATGGGATGACACTCTAGCCACAGAGTCTTGTGGCAGGGCTAGATCAGAGACGTATAGACAAGGGGGGCCTCTTAGGAGATCTGCAGCCGAGAAACCCTAAACAGACCCAGGCTGTCAAGAGATCCGCCAGGCAGAGAGAGAAGTGGCTCTTGATGGACCATGTAGGGCGCTGCAGCTTGGCCCAATCTGAGTCCCCAGATCTGTGGAGTCTGTAACCTTACAGGTAAGTGCTCACCTGGGAGCAAATCCCTTTACAGACTTCTCAAAATTCCACCATAAATTTGGAGTAGATTATGAACAGCAGACAGAGAGATGAGGACCTGATGAGAATCTTTGGAGGAATTCGGAGCGGATGTGCCCAGGATTGATGGGCCTGGCAACAGTCTGGCTGGGCTTAAGACGTGCATAAGGCCAGGCTCTCAAAAACACCCTTTAGAAATGGTGCTCTTCTCTCTCCCCTCCTCCTCTGTGTTGTCCTTCTGTTTTTGATCCCCTTACCGAGGCAGCATTTTTTTTCTGTTGTGGTCAGCCTCTCGGGCTTTCTTAGAGGAAGCAGCCGATCGGCTTCAGTGGGGGCCCCATGGCGTCCCCCTTCTTTTCTCCTTTGATTAACCTGCCCTGTTATTTTAACGAGCGTGGAGGGAGAAGCAGCTTAAAACACACCCCCCCCCAATCATGCGTGCAATTTAGACCTTTAAAAGGCTTGGGGTTTGCTGTAATTTAATTATAGTGAATTCCTCAATCAATTAATCAACTGTGATTTGAAATTGCCCTTGAGATCCATGACTGCACCTTGCCAGAGGACTGGCATTTTGTTTGTTTTTTAAATATTGCACGATTAAAATTAAAAACAAACCGACCGACCCTCAAAAGTCAGCCCCCCCCACTTGGCTTTTTGCAAAAGATTTTAAATACTTTCCCATTCCTTAATAGAACCCCTGTGCCGTGAGTTATATTAACCTTTCAGTGGCCATGCCGTCTCTGTGTGTGAAAATTAACTTGGAAAAGACAATGTCCAAATGTTTTCCCCAGACTTTGAAATCTTGGATTTGAATTTATCCCAAAGATAAACAAGAATGAGGGTGGGGTGGAGTAGTTGATACGTGTTTAACCATCAAACTTCCTAAATAAATATTGTTGCCAAATACAAAACTAGGTTTTTCAAGATGATGAGGAAGTACTCCTTCCACTTTCTTTGACAGAAACAAAAAATACTTTAAAGTAATTTTTTTCCAGCTGCTGGTTGGGGAGCAGTGCTGTGTCCATCTATCAGCTTCCAGAGCAACATAAGATATTTTTCATCCATGGTTCAGCCTGGAACACATTTTGTGCAGAAGAATCCCTTGAAAGAAATGATCTTTTCTTCCAAGGGAATGTGTTTCCAAGGAAATGTGTTTTTGTGTGTAGAAGATGTGAAATACCAAGCGGAGGACTTGACTCCTATGCCTTCTTGTCCACAAATTGAGTGGTAGTTTGCTTCAGAGTAAACATGTGCATTATTTCAGGGTGGCTAGACTGTATATGTATTTCTTAACCCTTCTCCCCACTACTGATCCTAAACTTTATTTGTAAAAAGCTTAGCTTGGATCAAACCTAAATGTAATGTGGAAGCAATTTGATTCTGAATAGTTGGTCATAATGGGTTTGATATAATTGTGTTTGTGAATGAGGCAATATGTATTTTTTCTTTGTATTTGCTTTTAACTAATGGCTTCCTAATTAATTAGGGCCTTGGTATTAATTTGAGCTTAATTTTCAAATCAATGGTTGTTAGGTTTGGAGAGCCAGATTACAATCTTAGCATAAACGTTCATAGAGATCTTGTATTTTTTTAAAAATATAATCCTGTTTCTTCCTGGCAGAATTCAGTTGTCATTTTAAAAGTCTTTTTCCAAAAGAGATGCATTTATTTGAGATATTGTATCCGTGTCTGATGACTTAGAATCTTATTTTTTTTTAACGAAATACCTTCAGAGCCCTTAAATTTTTCATAGGCGAGTTCAGATTGCACGTTGTGATGATTATCTCTGCAAATGACTGCATGCTTGGTGAACTCTTATTAAAGTCAATAAGGCTTGCTTGCAAGGCAAGTAACACCCTACTTTGAAAGGCAGAATGTGCTAATAAGGCTTGTTAATTATGTTGGAACTTGTTCCCAGGTTAGATCAGGGTGCAAGTTGGGGTTTAATCTTGAGGCTTACAAAAAAAAAGTCCTCCCCTCCCCCTCCAGGCATGTTTTTGTTGGTAAAAGGTGGATTTTACTTAATGATGAAGATCTTAGAACTGCAGACCTTGAAGGGACCCTATGGATCACTGAACCCAGCCCCCCCCAATCAAGGGGTCGCAGTGGGGAATTGAACTCCCTGCCTCTGGTTCTGCCACCAGAGACCTAGACCTCTGAGCCATCTTTATTTATTAATATACAAATTCGTTCCAGTGCTTGGAAAGGTCCAGAGCTGGGAGATGACAACTCCCAAGAAAAGAGTCAGGAAGTTGCATGCTGTGTGTGCGTGTGCGTGTGCGTGTGCGTGTGCGCATATGTAATGTTCCCAAGCTCTGCCTTTTTTTGAACATTGGTTTCTGCCCAACTCCTGTTCTCAGTTCCAGTCTTACTGATGCAGCATCGTTCTTTCTTTCCACAGGATCGGCATGATGGAAGCAGTAATGGGAACCCCAGATTGCCCCACCTTTCAGCTGTCAGCCAGCATTTGTACAGTCCAGCTCCCCCCCTTTCTCACTCGGGGGCCTCGGATTTCCAGCCCCCTTATTTCCCGCCCCCTTACCAGCCTCTGCCTTACTCCCAGTCTAGCGACCCTTATTCACACCTTGGAGATCCTTTTTCCATCAACCCACTCCACCAGCCACCACCGCCTCCTCCTAACCAGCAACAAACCAGCTGGCCCAATCGCCAGAACCAAGATCCTTCTGGTTTGTCTCACCACGCACGCTCCGGCTTGGTCCCCCATCTCCCAGCTCTGGAAAGCGGCTCTGCTGGGGCAAGGAGAGAAACCTACAGGCGGTCAGAGCTGCTGCTGCCCCATGGCCATGGCCTGGATGCCTCCAGCCTAGCAGAAAACCTTGGACTGCATGAAATGGCCCATCAGATGGAAGAGGTGCAGGTAAAAATTCTGGGGAAGGAGGATGAAAAGAGGAATGCTGGGGCATTGTGGGAGTTGTAGTCAAAAAAAGAGTAAATTTTCCAAGCTGTTTGTCCTACCAAAAGTAATGTGGATAACCTTTACTTCAAAGCAAGTAGCTCTAGTATGGCTTACAAGAACAAGATGTGGATTAAGCTGAACATCTTAAATACATTTATGACATTTATGTGATAAATGTGAGGACGGACCCACTCTGTTCATTTATTGAATTAAAACCCAGCCTTTTAAATGAACAGTTCATTTATTGAATTAAAACCCAGCCTTTAATGTAAACATTGAAGGCTATGTCTATCTCCCACCTCAAAATCTGGCCCCTTCTAGAACCCTGTAAGGTAGATACGTTTAGTCTGGAAATGTGATGGGGACAAGGTTGCCCAATGAGCTTCATGACTTCAGTGTCTCTTTAGAGTACTAATTTGAAACTATCTCAGCTCCTGTAACCTGATGCCTTTCAGATGTTTTGGGTTATGGTAGGTGAGAGTGGCAAGCATTTTCCTGCAAATATCTAGAACAGTAGTTCCCAACCTTGGGACCCCAGCTGTTCTTGGACTACAACTCCCAAGAACCTGGCCAACACAACTAATGGTGAAGACCTCTGGGAGTTTTAGCCCACCAACATCTGGGGACCCAATGCTGGGAGCCATTGATCTAGAAGATGCCAGGTTGCTAGTGTGTCAGTGAACTGCTAGAGCAGCATTAGGGGACGTGGTAGCCTTGCCTAGAACGGTCGTTGCACAGCATTATGGGTTTGAATGACCGTGAACCCTATCTATATCTCTAAACTGTGTAATGATATTTAGCATTGGTGGTACCTCTGCCCATCATCCTAGTCAATCTGTCCAGATTGCTTGTGTGAATTTATTTCTTGGTGCAAAGGAATCTCCAGGCTAAGCCTTATTAAACCCACTTTGTTGACTTACAAGTATGTTTCTTAGTGAGTTTGTCTATATTTGTTCAAAATTGTGCTTTGATGTTCAATGGAACTTTCAGTGGAATTTCTCGCTCCAATATATAGGATTGTCTTGGCTACTGTGCTAAATTTTGCATTACTGATCAAAGTGTAACTTGGATTTTTTTGGGGGGGGGATTACACTTCCTAGAATCTTGCAGGCTGAGAAGGAGATTCTGGGAATTGTAGTCCATATGAGTAACTTCTCCATATTCTCAACCTTGGAACATGTGCCCTGCTGAAGTATACCCCATGAACCTTCCTCAATTTGACACCCTCAAGGTGGGGTTGGGCTACATCATCCTGTTCTAGCTTAGTTAATAGTTGGGGAATGATAATTATGATCTAAACATCAGGATGGTACAAGGTTAGGTTACCCTCCATCTTTATAGCTAAATGGGTGAATCTATTAAACAATATGGTTGCTTCAAATATCTGCAGAATGGGAAGACCACTAGATGAGAATTGAAAACTGCAGGTTTCTTACCTACGGCCACCTCAGTCCTAACAGCCTTAGGAGAAATCCAGTTAATACTCATACTGAGTGAAATCAGTGGTACTTGAATAGATACTTAAGATTCATGGGGCTGCCATTTTAAAGGCACACATGCAAAGGCACAGAAATCAATGCCATCTAAGTCAGTGGACCTTAATTCTGAGGAGGCCTACCGCCTTTTGAACAAGGTATTTCAGGAGCAACTTTACAGTAAGCAGAACAAATATATGGAGCTTTACTTTAAGGATGTAAATTGGGCATAACTTACCTTTCCCGGTTTACAGTTGTGATGTCAAAATTCTCCTGAAACCAAAATATGTTCAATGGAATAAAAGTTTTGGGTCAGGGTTATGAGGTAGGACTCAGCTTCTTACTTGTGTTCAATTTGACTAGGAAAAATATCTGTGGGTGTGGGAGGTGGGTCATGCTGCTTGTTCCAACAGTTGTGTTCTAAACATTTCACATTCTCTCTCCAGAATGTGGAAGATCAACATTTATTAATGCATGACCAGACGGTCATTAGAAAAGGTCAGTAAGTCTGAATTCTGTTGTTTATTTTTCTCTTGACTTAAAGAAAAATGGCATTTTAACTAACAAAGCATGGCTTAGTGGTGGTATATTGTTTTGGAATATGATTTCCCTTCATGTTTTTTTTTAAATATCTGAAGGAAATGGCTTTAGAATGAAAAAAGTTCTTTGCATGAGCTAACATGTATGCCTGAGGCTATGTTCCACAACCAATTTACTCCAAAGTAAGTAGGCTGTGGATTTGATCAGTGAGTGTGTGTTTACAATACAACTGCTTTAAAGCGCCTGTCTTATTTAGAGCATGCAATTTGGATCCAATGAAACAGATTTAAAATGCATTATTAAATTTTCTTGTGGAAACCTACTCCGAACTGTAGTTTCCCAGGAACGACCAGGAAGGATGTTCTTTGTTCTAATATAATATATAAGCTATATATTAGTGAGACTATTGGTGCCCCTCTGGAAACTACTACCCAGCTACTGGTTTAATCCAAATTTTAGTTAGTATTATTTTGGCTTCTGATGCTTTTCCATTTAATGATCCACCTATGAATATGAAAACAGATAAATCTAGTACTATTGCAGCTTCTCAGTTAAATTGCTGCTTTTTTTTTAATCTGGGTTTTCATTTGGAAGCTGGTTATGTGCAGTTACTTTCCAGAGTGCTTGGCAATGGAGACAAATGAGATGTTTCATTTTTAAAGGGGATTTTTACACACACACACACGCACACGCACACACACACACAGAGAGAGAGAGAGAGAGAGAGAGAGAACTGCAGAATTAATGAATATAGGAAAAAGTCAGATGTTTGCATTTCTTCGGTCTAATAACAACCCTATGGACAAATTAACAAGTAACTGCCACTGATTTAAGCATAAGTTTTTATCCTGTGTTTTTGTCCCGGCAGTCACTTTTAGTGGATTCCTTAGTTGTTATTAGAAAGCAAAGACTACTGCTACATTCTTGTTGTTGTTAGAATTGGCTGGTGTCTGTCATGATTAAAAGAAAGCATGTTTATTTGTGGGGGGGAGGAATTGTGACCTGGCTTCCTAAACTGGGAAGGAATGAGTTAAGCTTGATGCCAGACACTTCTAAATGGATGAGCAAGAGGGTTTGGTTAAGATTTATCTGCACTGAAAAGCTTTCATTGGTAGTGTTTATAAGCCATGGGATGGGGAAGCTTTTGGTGCAAAACCGCCTGGATCTTATGTTCTAGTCTTTGCTGACATCACTCACCCCCTTCTAGTTTGTCTTAAATTAAAAAAAAAATCAAAGGAGGGATTTGTCTGGAACTTAAGGATGACTTGAAGGGAAAAAATGCATCTTGAGGAAAAGCAGAAATATTTTCTTGTAAACTGCTGATGTTGAGAATTAGCTCATGGAAGAAATATTTTTTCCGTTTTCAGTTTCATCCACTTGAGAATCTTCCTCCCTTTGATAAAGTAGTAGGCTTAATCTAGCCGACCTCAACCTGGGGGCTGCAGGTGTCTTGGACTACAATTCCCATTATTTCTAGCCAGCATGGCTGGTAGCCACCATGCTGAGCAAAGCTGCCTTAATCTTTCCCTTTTAAAACCATTCCAGGGAAAGTACATTTGTGCAGAAGTAGGTAGGATTTCAGCTCCGATTTGCCAAAATGTATTCACTGTCCCCAACATACTTCAAGAGGAGTAAAAGTTGACCTGCTTCTTTCCCTGTAATCCTTGAATTGGGAAAAGCTATTTCTGATTCCTTTAAGGTTCACTGTCTCAATGACATGTTGGCTCAGGGATTCTTGGAATTATAGTCTGAAAAAGTATTCTTTCCACTCACTGGCAAAAACAGACCAGAGCTTTTCTGCTAGTGGTAGTTGGGTGGATATATTTGGAATTCAGAATTATTAGTAGCCTAAGTCAACCCCTGTCCACTTAAGCACTTTATATTCCATTGAATTCAATACAAAAAAGTGAATACATACCAAAGACTTCCCTTGAAATCTGTGGGATGAGCAAAATTATGGCTAGATCATGCCTAGTTTGCTTTAACTCTATCCACACCTTGAAAGACAATAGATTGCATCATTGTAGCTCTCAGGACTATATTTATATTTATAATTAAAAAACAAAAAATGCTCACTAATATATCAGCTTTCTGTCCGTGGAACTGTTTCAAAAACCATTCTGTGGCAGATGTTTGGCTCTGTTTTCCCAGTGAACGCTCCAGCTGTTCTTTGTGAGAAACCTGTTTAGGGCATACCTGAATTGTGAAGACAATGCTTTCTTATCTGAAGTCTAGACAGATCTGTTCCTTTCCTAAAGGTTCAGAGATCCCTAAGAAAGGGGGGAAAAAAACCCACACCTCCTCTCTGTCTTTTGTTTTTGTACGTCTTGGTTTTGTAGGTCCCATTTCATTAACGAAAAACAATGCATTAGGTCTCCCTTGCCAGAAGGACGGACTGCTTGGCATGGTAATCAATCCCAATGAAGTCTTCTGCTCTGTTCCTGGCCGGCTTTCTCTCCTCAGTTCAACATCGAAATACAAAGTGACAGTAGCAGAGGTTCAAAGGAGGCTCTCCCCTCCAGAATGTCTCAATGCTTCTTTGCTGGGGGGCGTTCTCAGGCGGTAAGTGCTGAGGCTCTTTTAAATTTGTTTTTCCTCCCCGCCCCCCTTCCTTCCTGCCACATGCTCCCACCCACACCAAAATCATCTTTCAAAGGATGCCGTTTTTGTGGTCTCTGAAGCGGTTTAAACGGCTTGGGGATAATTTCTGGTCTCCCATTTTGTGACTCTGTAAAGAGAAATTGAAAATGCTGCATCCTAATGGAGTTTATTTCTGAGTGCTGGGTTCACACTCTTCTCTTTCCTCCCCTCTTTTTGGCACCGCTTTGCACTTCCAGAATTCAAAAGAAGTGTGTTAACAAGTTCTTTTCTCCTGTGAATATGATGCTTTCCCCCTCTGTCCACAGTAAGAACATTTTGGTGCCAAGAATCCAGGTTTATTTTTCAAATCTCCTTACTCAGCTGTGTATACCTTGCAATCTTTAAGCAGCATTGCTCGCAGAAATCAATTCTACATTTATTATGATCATTGGTTTTTTTTCCCCATCGAGGTGCCATGTGAAAAAAGTTTATTAAGGTTGCCAGCTGTCCAGGAAGAAAACCCTGGCTAGCTTATTCCTGTACCTCTCAGAATGTAAGGAAGAGAGGAAGCTGGTGAAGGTTTATCACCTGTAAGAGCTGCTGTTAAAAGCACAGCTGCTGGGGTTAGACTCAAAAGCTGGATGCCCTGTTTTTTGTATGGAGAGGTGAGATAGGGAGCAGAACATTTTGAAACATTTGTGATTAATAAAGTGGCCACTCCTCTGAAAAAAGAGGGAAGGTATCCCGAGAAAAAGAGCAAACAGACCAGCATAGCATTTGCGACTGCTAATCTGTATATCCAAAGTTGCATCTGTGTTTAATTGTTATGTTAAACAGTTCTACACCACATCTCTTTCTGGTCGGAAAGGCTGGGGCTCAGTGATCTAACAGCACAATGCCTATACAGGTGTTAACTATGGATGAGCAAGTTCAAGGCCCACACTCTCCCTTTTGATAGATCTTCAGATTTAGATTTAGTTTTGTGCCTAAGAAATGAAGATACTTTCCAAAGAGAGTGGCTGAAATCCTGGTGTTTAGTGTATAGGTTGCAACTAGAGTAAGCCCACCTGAAATCAGTGGAACGTACAAGGAACTGACTCACTAAATTGCCACTGATTCAGTGGGCCTACTCTGATTTATTATGCTAAGCAACAGGATTACAGCCAGCATGTTTCCTGAAAGCCTTTCAGATAGAAGACCTCCACCTGTAAAACAGGACATGTGGCCACATCCCCTTTGAAAGACTGCCTCCCCCCAAATAACTGGAGATTGGCTAGATAGTTCAGTGGTTTAGGTACCTGGCTGTGGAGCCAGAGGCTGGGAGTTCGATTCCCCACTGTGCCTTTTGGGAGAAGAGCCAGCCTGTGTGTCCTTGGGCGAGTGGCACAGCTTCAGGATGCCCCCAGATAAAGGGAGTGAAAAACCATTTCTGAGGACTCTCTGCCTAGCGAACCCTGAAAAGGCTGCTGTAAGTCTGAATTGGACTTGACGGCAGATGATTATTATTAATTATTGGAGCTGTTGCGGAAGATTGATCGGTAACATACAGGCCAAATGGTGAACCATCCCAGTTGTCTTCAAAGTGTTCCTAAAACTGGCCTTCTAATTATGAGGGATTGCATTTGTAAGCTGTGAAATTAGGACTACAGCCTTGTTTATTATTCCTCTGTGCGTGTGCACCCACATGTACACACTACCCCCCCCCACCAAAAAGGTTCAGTTGGTGCTCTATGCTTGTAAAAGGTTTTAATTTTCATTATGCTTGTCATCGCAATTGTAATGATTTTTGATGGTCGAAAATGCAAAGGCAAAGCGTATTCTCTCTCCCCCCTCTCCTCCTCCCCCCCCGGCCTCTTTCCCTTCTTTTTGATCTTGCTTCCTGACATTTATGTGATGGAGCATTAAAAAGTAGGTCAGGGCTTGTTTGGTTGCATCCCCCCTCCCCCGCTTTTCTCAAACAGCACCGCATTGAATGTCAGTAACTTGTGTTTTCCAATTGCTTCGAAATGTGACCTCTTCAGAAAATACAGCTAAATAAAACACGGTCCATCTCCTTCCCCGCTTACAGAGCCAAGTCTAAAAATGGTGGCCGATCATTAAGGGAGAAGCTGGATAAAATTGGCTTGAACCTTCCTGCTGGCAGGAGGAAAGCCGCCAATGTGACGTTGCTGACATCCTTGGTTGAAGGTCAGTCTTAATTCTTCTCCTTTCCTGCCTGAGTAGAGGGCAGCCTAAGTAACTTGAACGCCCAAAGGGACGTCCTCTGAAATAAAGGGGATGATTCTTGTTCCCGGACTAGGCTGAGCAGCAACAGAAGGGTTTATTCTTGCCTTAAATCAGTGGTTCCCAACCTTGGACTACAACTCCCAGAAATTGTGGCCACCACAGCTACTGGTGAAAGTTTCCGGTAGTTTTAGTCCATTTGGGGAGACAAGGTTCTGGGGGAACCACTGCTTAAATGATACTGCTGAACTGAAGAAAGGTTAAAATAAACAGGGATGGGTTTTTATATAGAAGAGTGGTTAGCTCCTATCCATTCTGGTATGTTGTATATAACTTCAGAAGATGAGGTACCATTTTTGCCCTCTCCTGGATCTTTGTGGATACCTCCCCACCGCAAAGAAGACCACATATGATTCTTCCATTCTTTATACATATCAGTAAAATTCTGGACAAATAATGATTTTTTTAAAAAAAATGTAATAGAAATGATGATCATTTGTGGTCCTAAAAACTTTGCTATTCAGCAAGTTTGCAGTGCAACACTTCTGGAGGTGAAGGATTGGCTGGCTGAATGCCATTGCCTGGGGAACTCCTAGAGACTTATATGTCCCAAATGGGGACATAGTTTCATATGACTGAAACCTTGAGATTTTCCAATCTTCTGGCATGCCACCTTTAAACCAAACTTATATTTGAGGACTTATTCCTTCATTTCCCCCCTTTTAGCACATATTTGATGGTGCTAGTGTTGCTGTTACAACCCACTCATTGCTCTTAGATTTTGAAGATGCTGACACTGGAGAAAGGGGAGGGATTCAGCCTCTGGGCTCAACACCTGGGCATTAGGAGTCCCTGCTGAATCTGAGCCTATAGGCTCCACCTCCAACGAGGTGTGTTCCAGTTGGTTTGTTCAGCATCAGCTGATCTAAGTTCCATAAGGCTTGTGATTGGAGGAAAAGCCTGGTGATTGGAGGCAGCTAAGTCTCGTGATTGAAGGAAGCCTGTTTACAGAGGCAAGGTATGGGCCGTTTTGTTCTCAGCTTCTGTAAAAGACACCCGCCAATTTTTAGTGTAATGATTTTAGGTGGAAAAGTAGTGTCTTATACACAGAAAAAAGACCTTACATAAGTCTTAACAAATCTGATTTAGTCCATACATAAGTCTTAACAAATCTGATTTAGTCAGTGGCTTTCCTTTAGTCCTTTTTTTCCCCATGCAGAAGCGGAGAAGAAGGGGGATGCTAGTTGCAGTCCTTTTTTCCCCCATGCAGAAGTGAAGAAGCGGAGAAGAAGGGGGATGCTAGTTGGCCAGTGGTTTAAATCCAGCTTGCACTTTACAGCTTTTGTTGAACTGGATTGTCAAGATGCAGTTTAGATCCATTGTAATGAGTACTTGCTTTGCTAGCTGTTTTGATGGGAGTGTCATCAAGTCCTGGATGAACACGTTCTGGTTCAAGTTGCATGTGCCTCAAATGTGGCTGGTGAACCCCTGAGTTTCATGAGCAATCTTTGTAGTTTCAGTTGGCTTGTGGTATACAGATATCCCAGCTGCTCACAGCTCATACTTATTCAGGATACTTAACGCAGATTAAAATTTTTGGGATATTTGGCAAGCATTTTCAAGGTTTTAAAAAGGGTCTATTTTTTGGCGAATGCTTAAAAATAAAGTGTTGTTACATACTGTCAAGTCACCTCCAATTTATTCAGGATACTTAACGCAGATTAATATTTTTGGGATATTTGGCAAGCATTTTCACGGTAAAAAAAGGGTCTACTTTTTTGGTGAATGCTTAAAAACAAAGTGTTGTTACCTACTGTCAAGTCACCTCCAATTTATGGTGACCCATTGAATGAACAATCTCCAAAATGTTCTGTCCTCAGCAGACCTGCTCAGCTCTCGTAAACTCTAGCTTCCTTTAGGGAGTCAGTCCATGTTGTATTTGGTCTTGTTTTCCTACAGCCTTCCACCTTTCCCAACCTTACTGTCTTCCAGAGAAACCTACCTTCTCATGATGGGCCTAAAATAGGACAAGCTCAGCTTCAGCACTTTTGCCTCTAGTTCAGGCTTGATTTGCTCTAGGATGCACTTGTTTGTCTTTCTGGCAGTCCAAGCTATCCAAAAAGCCCTCCTCTAGCACTGCATTAGCAGATGCCCCCTATAAGGGGCATCTGCTAATGCGGTGCTAGAGGAGAGCTTTATGGATAGCTTGGACTGCCAGAAAGACAAATAAATGATGGTATTTTAATGGTGATACTGCTGCTTTTTGACCCAGTTTGGATCAGACCAGAATGTGGTAGTGTAGATTTGAGGAGCAACATTTGAACTACAAATGTTGAACTACATTTCTCATCAGCTCTAGATAGCTTGACCAGTGAGGTGGTATGATGAGCATAATAGTTCTCCAATAGAGATGGGCACAAATCATGCCAGTTCATCCTTGAGATGTTTGGTGGTTCCCAGCCCTGCTTTCTCCGGTGGATGCCCACTCAGAGGCAGTGCCCTGGCTTCTCTGCCCTGCCTCCTCCAGTCACTGCCTCTGAGTGGGTAACTGCCAGAGGAGGCGAGGTTGGGAACTGCCAAACACCTTTTTGTCCAAAGGATGAACCGTTGGTTTGTGTCCATCTCTATTCACCAACTTGGAGAGTTGAAGGTTCCCCCCTTTAGTTACAGGACTATTAGTTGAAAACCAATGGATCTGTTGATCTTCATCCCTGAGCAGATATCTGATGCAAGTAGGTGTCCAGCTGACACTTGAACATGCAAAACTGCCTTATGCTGAGCACATGTAGCCCATTATCATCAACATGAATGGCAGCAGCTCTCTAGGGTTTCAGGCGAGATTTTTCTTTTTAGACCGGTCTGGAGATCCCTGTTATTAACTGCTGTTCCTCCCATCAAAATGAGTTGATATTACTTAGTTTTATGCGATGATATGAAAGTTGTTTTGGCTGTTGCTTCATGTTGTACAGAAGACAGCACTTTGTAACCTCTGGGTGTCAAGGCAAAACTGTACAGTGGTGCCCCGCATAATGAGTGATGCAAAACTGTACAGTGGTGCCCTGCATAACGAGTGATTCGTTTAATGACAAATCCGCATAGCGCTGTATTTTTTTGCGATCACAAAAGCGATCGCATTGCGATGTTTCTAATGGTAAAACATCGCTTTGTGATAATCGGTAAGCGTTTCGCTTACCAATTTTCACATAGCGATGTTTTTTAACAGCTGATCGGCGGTTCCAAAATGGCCACCGGGTAAAGAAAATGGCCACCCGCTGTGTTTTTGCGCCCTTTCCTCGCTTACCAGGCAGCAAAAATGGTGGCTGCATGGAGGATTTCCACATAACTGGTGAGTTTTTTGCCCATAGGAACGCATTAAACGTGTTTTAATGCGTTCCTATGGGCTTTTTTGCTCCGCATAGTGACGAATCCACATAGCGACGATTTTTTCGGAATGGATTATTGTCGCTATGCGAGGCACCACTGTATTTGTTTCTGTTCCTGACGCTTTTCTCTTGGATATTTTTTAGTTTCTCTCTCTGAAATTGGTCATCATTTGAAAGATACAACTGATGCCAGTGAAAGTCAGGTTGCTTTCCCTGTTAGGGCATTTAACTAGGCAAACCAAATTTAAGGTCTCTGAGCACAGATTCACTTAACCTTCATGATGTGAGGTCTCTGAGATTTTTACGTTTGAATTTATGAACCATCCCGAGTAGTGTGTGCATGAATGAGGCAGTATATAAATCAAATCAATGAATAACTGATTAAGTAAATACACCAAGTAAATACACCTACTGAAAAAATTTAGTAATCTAGGCATTACAGTATTATGAAATAAGGAGTAGGAGTGAGGGTTACCACATGTCTATTTCTCCTGAACAAATATTTCCTTGAGAATCTGATAAATCAAACCTACTTCCTTCCTTCCCTCCTTTCTTTGTTGTCGAACTTGCAGGAGAAGCTGTACACCTTGCCCGAGATTTTGGCTATGTATGTGAAACTGAGTTTCCCTCTAAAGCTGTGGCTGAATACTTAACTCGTCCCCATCTGGGTCGTAATGAGATGGCTACCAGGAAGAACATGTTGCTTGCGGCAAAGTAAGTATCTTGTCTGACTGTATTCCTTTTGATTGGGCAATAATAATTTCATTACTCGTTTCTTTAGACACTGAAAAGATTCCACGGTTCTTCAGGAGCTGTTGGATATCTCAGTGGTTTAGGACTCTCGTGAGGTTGGGAGTTTGATTCCCCACTATGCCTCCTCGAGAGGTGCTGGGCTTCCTGACCCATAGGGTCCCTTTCAGCTCTGCAATGCCGGGCTTCCTGACCCATAGGTTCCCTTTCAGCTCTGCAATTCTAAGATTATTTTCTTAGTCAGCCATTGAACAATCAGAAGATAGATTTGGAATTAACTGGCAAAGATTTTGGACTCAGAGCTGTATTAAACTAATAAATCTTAGCTGTAAATAGTTAGCATCCACCCTAGATTGTATGACTAAAATAAAGAAAGTTTAATGATATGGCTTTTTGAGTGTAGGGATTATCAGAAAACTTCAATTTTAATACCCCAAACGGATCCCCATCCTCATAATTCTTTAATTTTAAGTGTACGTTTTATGTAGCCAGGTCCGGATTGCTCTAACAAAGTGGGAGATAGTTTTTAAGACCCCAGCGAGTGACAAATGGCCAGATGACTTTGTAGAAATGGTAAAGGAGGTGGAAAGGTGCTACTTCTATCCCTTAGCATCACCATTCTACTGATGCTCACAACCTTGAATATGAGTCAAGAAACCTTTCACAAGATGACTGGATTGTCTTCTGGGCTTTGCTTTCTGGAGATGGTGCTCTGTGGTTGCAGGCTGCTGAAAGACTCAGATGTGTTCAGTTTCTAAGTGTACCAAGAGGTTTTTGCTTTTCTCACCTCTTTGACTTTGTTTTCTTTTCTCTCTTGCTTTTTTTAAAAAAATGGATACTGAATGGTTCGTATTTCTATGAGACTACAGCTGCTTTGTACAAGATGTGTTGGATGGACCTTGGCATTCTATAGCGTTGGGCTTGTCCTGATGATGAATCAACATGAGTCAACTAATGCCCTGATACCTAAAGAAATAGCTTTAGGTATCAGGGCATTAGTTTAGACTGGAAATAGGAAGTGTGTGGCCCTCCACAGTTTTCTTGACCTCAACTCCCATAAATCTTGGCCAACATAACCAATGGCAAGGAATGATGGGACATGCAGGCCAGCAACATCTGGAGGACCATAAATCTCCCTATACACACGGTTTACGACCTGGCTGAAGGTAGCATAGCCACTTTGGAGGGTAACCTGTCTTTGTTTTTACTAGATTTGGTGATGAAATCATCTTTGAAGTAATAGGATTTTAAGGATCTTGAAGACAATCTAAATTTGCCTATACAGTGGTGCCTCGCATAACGAGCGCACCATTTAACGATGAATCTGTATAGCGATGCAGATTTTGCGATCGCTAATGTGATTGCATACTGATGCTTCCAATGGACAAAAATTGCTTTGCGACGATCGGTAAGCATTTCGCTTACCGATTTTCACATATCGATTTTTTAAAAACAGCTGATCGGCAGATCCAAAATGGCCACTGGACACCCAAAATGGCCGCGCGCAGTGTTTTCGCGCCCTGCCCTCACTTACCGAGGGCGCAAAAATGGCGGCGCTATGGAGAAACTTCGCTGAATGGTGAGTTTGGGCCCCATTGGAACGCATTAAACGAAATTTAATGCTTTCCAATGGGTTTTTACTTTCCGTATAGCGATGTTTCCCAATAGCGACGGTTAATCCGGGGCACCACTGTACATGTGGAAATTTGCCTATACATGTGTAATCAGTTATTTGAGGATTCCAGCTTTCCCAAGTAAAAACAATGCCTGCTGGTTACATATAGGAATTGATAGAATGGTGTTTATTTTTAAGTAGTGCTTCAAATGTCTGTAGGAGGAAATAAGCACCCTTTACATTTAATCGTGTGTCTATAAATGTTTGCAACATCAAAAGGCCTTTTGTGGTAGAGATCAAATCCTAGGGAGGTTTACTGTGGGATTTTTAATCTGTGAAACATGCAAAGGGCATCTAAGAATGCATTTCCACTTCTGCAAACTTGCAAGTTGGTTTAGGACCTTTGTTTTTTGAATGGTCTAGAATCTATGTTCCCTTCTTTCTTTCACTCAGGCAGGTTTTTGAACTGACTGTGTTGGAGAAATTTTAACTTTCTTGTATTGAGCTTTCGAATTGTTTTTTTTTAATTCAATGGTTACTTTAACATATTAATATTTAATTGTTTTTAGTATTGTAATTGATTGCGTGTTTAGCTGCATTTGGTTGCTAAATGTTTTGTAAGCTGCCTTAAGTCCTTTCCTTGAGAGAAAGGTGGAACATAAATAAAATGAATGAATGAATCATTTCAGGTGCTCAGTAAAACTACAGTAAAAATCTGATCGTGTACTTTGGTGGAAGTGAAGAAAGCCCAGATTCTTCTCGCATTGGGTCTTGGCCTATCGGCGAAAAACTCCCACTCAGAAAAAAGCAGTTCCCAAGCTTTCTAGTACAGGACAGAACATTTTTAATAAATCGGAGCTTTTTCTTTGTCTGCTGGAACCTATGTGTCCTTCATCTAAAGAAGCCATAATTACTAGGTTTTGCAGGATGTTTTTTTTTCTTTCCCATAGATGCAAGTGTATGCAGATTTAATTGATAGATGCATGAGTTTTAATTGGTTACACTTTTCTATCCTGACAACATCTCTTTTTTAAAAAAGTGAGATGGCATATAGAATTGTTTACTTTGCATAATGCATCCTTGCTAGGGATTTGGTGTGATGTTGGGCTGCCTTGGCACAACAGACTGATGTGTGCAGCAGAAAATGCCCACTGCATCTCCCAGCCAGCATGGCTAGAGGGACCATGTAGCACACATGGTTTGGATACAGAACATCCCAGGATGTCAAACCCTGACATCTCCAGGTGGAAGGGGAAATATGTGGGTCTGTGACCAAGAGGGTGGAGACTTCACATCCATCAAAATAGATTTGAATCAGAAAGGCCAGTAGTCATGGGTGGGACCATACTCCCTCTGAAAACACAGGTGTGCAGCTTGGGGAGGCTCCTAGATATATTTCTCAGCCTGGATGCGTAGATTACAGTGGTGGCCAGGTGTGCATTTGCACAGTTAAAACTAGTGCTGTGACTGTTCCCGGAGAAGTTTGATCTAGTCAAGATGACACTGGTTGCCGGTCTGTTTCCAGGCACCATTCAAAGTACTGGTTTTAACCTATAAAGCTCTAAATAGCTTGAGTCCAAGCTGTTCCAAAGACTGCATCTCCCTTTGTGAGCCTACTCATGTGTTAAGACTGATCTTTCCTCTCACCACCATCATAGGTGCGTTTGATGGGGACACAAGAGAAGGCCTTCTCTGTTGCTGTCCCCAGACTCTGGAACTCCAAGCTGGCCTCATCTTTTTGCTGTCCTTTTACAAGCAAAGAACTTTCCATTCAGGCAGGCTTTCCCTTAAGGACTGGCTGCCTGAGTGAGGTTCTAAAACAGAATGGTTTGCATTTTTCCGGATTTAAAATCTGTTTTAGTAATGTTTTTATCTAACATGCTTCATATCATGTTTATTTAATTCTTTTCTAATAGTTATACAACTGTTTGTTTTTAGCTGTCAAATACTGCCTTTTTAAAATCATATAAGCCACCTTGGATCCTTTTTTTTAGGAGAAAGGTGGTGTAAAATACTATATACTGTTTGAAATCTTGGGTAGCTAGTGCTGGTCAGTGTAGACACTCCTGCCCTAGCCAAACAAATGGTTTGATCAGGCACCTCCTGAGGGATGCTTTTGAGAATAAACTGTGATGTAGTCGGCAAACCAAAATCCTGTTGCTGCTTATGCGCATTGCTGTGGCTAACCACAGCTAACTGATGAGGAGCTGTTCGCACATTGAGTTGCAGAAATGCAATGTGCCCCAGCACTTCGTCAATTAGCTACAATTAGCTGCAGCCATTCATGCAACCTTTGCATGAAGGCCAAGAAGATTTCCAGCCTACATGCAGCACTGCGAGCTTTATAGAAGATTTGCCACTTTGAATACTCAGCTTTGTGCCTGTGTGAACTACACATCTTTATGTATGTATGTATGTATGAATGTATGTATTTACTTACTGACTTACTTACTTACTTATTTACTTACTTACTTACTTCCTTACCTACCTACCTACTTACTTACTTACTTCCTTACCTACCTACCTACTTACTTACTTACTTCCTTACCTACCTACCTACTTACTTACTTACTTCCTTACCTACCTACCTACTTACTTACTTACTTCCTCTGTTTATACCCCAACTATCTAGTCATTATGACCACTCTAGGCGGCAACACTCTTGCTATACTAAAGTGTCCCAAACTGAGCAGTTAGGCCTTTTACTTCTATTCTCTTTCTCTTCCCATAGGTTTATTTCTTCCCAATCAGTTGTTTACGCAATCAGGCATTGAGCCAAACTGTTTCTGTCTGCCATGCTGACTGAAGCAACTGTAGAGCTGTGCGTGCCTGCAACTTAAGAGACTGTGCTTGAACCCGAGCCACATTTATACTCTTTTTGTTTCGCTGCCAAGAAAAGATTTCCAGGAGATGGTGGGAGGAAATTCCATGCTACTCTTGTTCTCGTTGCTTGTGACCTTGGCTAATCTGTTTATTTCAGTACAGTAGAAGGGAAACAGTAAACACCTTCTATTGTCACGACTTTCTGACTCGGGTGTTCCATCTAAAGTTTGGATGTAACTTGTTAAAATAATGCATTGCAGTTACATTAATTCTTTTGCCCAATTACAAAACCATGTAATTGTGTTACATTGCAACTGTACATTTGCAAGAGGTAACTTCATTCCTTTGGCAGGATAACTGTTTAGTTACCTACAGTTACGTTTAGTTACAGAGCACAGCTTTGTACTATGTTGTAGGTGCTGAGATAACAATATACTGGGTGGGAGAAAGGTGTTTGCTCCTACGTTGCAACAGTAAATTTTCCCTGCTCTTAACTGGCTGGATAGCTCATTGGTGTTGGTATCTGCCAGTGGATTAGGAGTTTCATTCTCTGCTGTGTCTCCTGTATGTAGAGCCAGCCTGTGTAGCCTTGGGCGGGTTGCACAGTCCCAGGGCACCCTCGGAACAAGAGAATGGTAAAAAATTTCTGAGTACAATCTACCTAGAAAAACATGGAAAGGGTCACCATATGGCAGAATCAGTGTGATGTCATGCAATTAATATTACAGTGGTGCCTTGCATAACGAGCGCACATTTAACGATGAATTTGCATAGCGATCTAATTTTTTAGATCGCTAATGCGATCACATTGCGATGTTCTGTATAGGCAAAGCATCGCATTGTGATAATCATTTTTTTAAACAGCTGATCGGTGGTTCCAAAATGGCCGCTGGGTGCCCAAAATGGCCGTCGCAAGTGTTTTCGCGCCCTGCCCTCACTTACCGAGGGCGCGAAAATGGTGGCGCTATGGAGGAACATTGCTGAACGGTGAGTTTTGGAGCCATAGGAACGCATTAAACGAAGTTTAATGCGTTCCTATGGCTTTTTACATTCCGTTTAGCGATGTTTTTGCATAGCGACGATTAATCCGGAACGGATTAACGTCGCTATGCGGGGCACCACTGTATATTACCTGCTCCTGTCTTTTTTCAGTTTCAATACAAGTGCAAAATTCTCTTCCTAAAAAAATATGTCTCTCTGTGCATGTGTCTCTTTCAGGCAGATCTGTAAAGAATTCACCGAACTCCTCACTCAGGATCGCACCCCTCTTGGTAATGCAAGGCCCAGCCCGATCTTAGACCCTGGCATCCAGGGCTGTTTGACTCACTTCAGCCTGATCACGCATGGCTTCGGAAGCGCCGCTATCTGTGCTGCCATGACGTCTGTCCAGAACTACCTGAACGAAGCTCTCAAAATAGCAGACAAAACATACATGAATGCTGGAGACCAGAGCCCTGCGGAAACCAATAAAGGCCTTGAAAAAATGGACAAACACCGAAAATAGGAGAGAGAGAGAAAGAGGTTGACAAAGACAGACTGGAAACAGACTTTCTAAAAACTATTCTCGCACAGAGACTTCAACTCTCCTTGCCAGTTGGGCACATAGATTTCTCCTGCAACTTGTTTTAGGACATGATATTGATTCATTTTTAAAACGTCCTTCCCTGCGCGCGCACCCCCTCTATGTGTTTCTCTTCTTTAAAGCTGCCATTATCCATTCAGTTGTGGGACCAGGCATCAGAAGCTAATTTAGGTACAATCTTTGCTTTTTTAAAAAAAAAAGGAGAAAAAAAGGAAACATGTATTTTAATCAGTAAAAAGTGGTGCTATCTCTCTTTTTTTTCATATTGTGTGAAAGTCTATTTTTGCCGTTTCTAGATATTTGAGCAAGTTCTGTCCCCCCCCACCCCCCGGGTGTATTTTTTGGATAGTGGCAGCTCTTTTGGTTTCACAGAGACAGTAAACAGTTGTTTTGGTTTGTGAGGATGCAGAGCTTGGAAAAAGTTTTTTTTTAATAAATAAACAAATAAATGAATGAATAGGTAAAGCTCCCAGGATTCCCCCGCAACCATGCTGGCCATGTTATGTGGGTGTTCTGGGAGTTACAGTCCTGACGAGTAACTTTTCCAAAGCTCTGTATACATGTTGCTCTGCCTCCAGGCTTGCATAATTCCCCTTCCTCTCTTTAGCACGGTTGTGGAAAAGAAATTGGGAATATTTCTTTCTTCCTTTAATGCTCATCAGAGTTTGTTGTTATATCTGAAAAGGAAAACCTATTAAACCACGGTTTATTTAAACGAATCACAGTTAACAGCAGAGGCTGGCAACATGTGGGCTGTATGCAGCCTTTGGATTCCTTGTCTTCACCCCTCCTCCACTCCACCTTCCTTGTTGGCAAAATGTGTCCAAAAAAGCTTAGGTTTTCCCTTATATCTTGCTTCCTTTGACAAATGAAGGGGAGATGGTCTGCCTTATGATCTGACATGGTTGTAGGTTTGGTACAATGTTTTGACACCCTATTATATTATAGAGCTGCAGCAGTTGCCCTGGAATTTCAGTGACAATTGTGATAGATGAAGGGTGTGGCCCCCACTTGTCCCCCTCTGTTTCCCTAGTCCTAGTTTACACTGACTCTCATCCCATGAGCAATAAACCATGGTTAGATAGAAAGAAGTGATTCCAGTTTCCTGACTGCCCAGAGGAGGGAAACACACTCAGGCTAGAGGAATGTCATTCACTTAATTCTAAAACTATGGGGATTGAACCGGACTATAGTGTGAATGCTACTTGTGGAGCAAGACAACTTGGTTTCCTCTCTGGGAGAAAGTGTGCATTGGCTGACCAAGTCCTAGCTCTGGTGAAGGCACTCTTAGCCAAGGGTACGCGAAGGGGTTGACTTCCCTGAGACTCCCAAATCTGAGAAGGAAGTGAGAAATGTGGGCTGTGTTGATCACATCTCCCCTGGCATTGTACATTCTTTAATTTCCTATAGTGATGGAATCATGTGAGACATCCTCCCCTGCCATCTCTCAGGCCTCTATGGAGTGGTAAGACATTCTGGCATCTTTGTTATACTATACGCATGTTGGTGCCCCCCCCAAAAGGAGTGGTGGTGTGGGCATGGAGTGGTAGTTCATTGCACCCCCCAAGAATCAAGTTACGGTAAGATAATTGGTTTAAAAGAAGTGTCTAGGGTTTTTGTTAAAAACTCCACTGTCTCTAGAAACCAGGAATAGAGCCTAACGCAGTATTACCCCAGGCTGCTTGAATTCTTGGGAAGAAACCAGAATTGTTACCCCATTGGAAAAGGTTCAGAGAAAGCTGCAGTTGTGGAAGAGTTTTCCTTGTCCATCTGCACTCTTCAGATGTGCTGGAGTGCAATGCTGTTCCTCAGTGGGGATTTTCGGGAGTTGTTGTCTGAGACAGCGAGAGCACCGGCAGTGGGGAAATTGAAAAAATATTGTGTCCAAGGGTATTTGAAGGCTTGATTTGGGAACCTTTGGTTTCTTTTGGGTGGTTCAAATTTTTGGACATCATCTCAAGAACTACAGCATATTCTAATGCTAAGTGTGGCTTCTGCAGGATTGATAAAGGAACAGCAATGCACTAAAAGTGTATTGTAGCAGATCTTTTTATATGAGGAAGAAAAAACTTTCAGCTAGGAAAAAATGAACTTTCATCTTTGAATTTTTTTTTTAACGAAGAACACCAGGATATTGCAGCTTTAGCTATATCATCAGGTCTTGTGCTTTGAAAATAGGGGAAGAAAACTTGAAAGAATAGGCACATAATGTTTAATTATTTTCTTGCCTATATAGGCCAAAAATAACCTATATATAGATATAAATATATATATATATATCCACGGAGGTTTTATGTGTATAAGGGGAAAAAACAGTGTGTTGAATGTATATATTTATTTATGTGTAATTTAATGGGATTTGTAAATAATGGTGAACATTTTAATACTTTTTTTTTTATAAATGGGCTTCAAATTTAAGATTCCCCTCTTCCCTCTCCTGCACCCCGATGGTAATGGGTCAGCTCGATAAACTGCTAGACAATGTACAGATCTGTTTTATGCTGGGTATTTAAAAGACTTTTTATTAAAAAAAATAATTAAAACATGAAAAATCCTCCATTCTTTCCACAGAAAATGTATACCTGATCTGAGGTGTGTGTTGACAAAGCAATAACTTTGTGTACTTGGTAGAAGCCGTTTGAAATGAGTGTGAGGTACCGTGTGTATGGGGGGGGGTTTGGGTGGGATAACTGCAGTCAAACAACATCCCTCCTCATTTTGTAAATGTTTTTCCCATTACCAACTGCCGTTGTATAGGATACACCATATAATAAAAGTATTCTGGATAGAAGTATTGAATGCTGTTTAACTGGAAAACAGGTTTTCTTGCTTTTTGTGTAGGTTGGGCGGCAGAACACCACAAAAATGGGCATTTTAATTGAATACACGGCTTTTGTTGTTAAATGGATTAATGGAACAGACATTTGGAGGGGAGTGCCAGCAAACTGACTGGTTTCAATTACATCCATAATGGTCTCTCGATGTCCATGGCTCCTTAATCATTCCCATTCGCACCCCTCTGTCCTTGCCTTCAAAACGTCATGTTCCTCAGCAAATAAGAAGCTTGGAAGTATTCATACATACATTTTCCCTAAGCATTCAAGTGCATGAAGCTTCTTTTTCTTTAAAGCTACCAAAAACCAAACATCTAAGGATAAGTTAAAGGTTAGCAAGTACCTTTATTCTTGTACCTTTGCACTAATTCTCAACGTGTATGCCAAGAAAAACAACACATGTTTTAGATTAGAGGTCGTCAACCCCCGGCCTGAGTCGGGCCGCGAAGACAGACCTCCCCCCCCTGCTCGTCAACCCCTGGCCTGAGTTGGGCCATGAAGAGAGACCTCCCACCCCTGGAACTCCCCTCTCCACAGCTGCTTGGTGCATGTGCGCGCTGCCAGCGCTGGCGTGAGCACTCTGTTACCCCTTCATGCATGTGCCTGCGCGCCCGCATGAAGGGGTGGGCAGGCATGTGGGTGTGCGTGCAGGCACCCCTATGCATGCGTGAAGGGGTGGGGGAGTGCTCACGCCGGTGCAGGCGGACTCCCAAACCACTTCGCACATGCGCACCTGTGGGGGGGGGCTGCCTTCCTCAGAGGCTCAACCAGTCCGCGTCCGCGTTCCGAAAAAGGTTGGGGACCGCCAACCACTTTGCACATGCGCACCTGTGGGGGGGGCTGCCTTCCTCAGAGGCTCAGCCAGTCCGCGTTCCGAAAAAGGTTGGGGACCGCTGCTTTAAGGTATGGAGCCCTGTTCCCTCTTTAACTGAGGATAGCCGTGTGTCAGAGAAGAAAGGTCTTGAGAAATTATGTTCTACTACCACAGTCAGAAGCTTAGATTCCAGACCTAAGACTCATTTTTGTGGGATCCACGCTCATGGTCTCACTAGTTGGACATGCAGTCTAAGGAAGCAAGATCTTACCAGCCAGGTAACTTAGACTTCATTTTCATGACTTCAGAAGAAGGCATTTAGACATGCTTAGAAGCACAATTATCTTTATTATTTTGTATGTTCAAAAGGAGCTGCTGGAATGCACATTTTGGCTTTTAGTATTTGCATTGTCTTTTAGGCACACACCATTGTGCAACTGTTGCTCAAGAGTCCACCCCATAACATCACCAGGCCTCCTACATATAAAAAATATTGCCCTCAAATCTCAGGAAAGGGAATGTTGTTCTCCCACCAAGATCTTAAGGTACACAAATATTTCACAAATAAGAAAATCCTGCCAAGTCCTTCTTCTCCTTGGCAAGAAAGATATAATAGCAAATTGAAGAACTAGTAAGTTGCTGTTCCTCCAGGACACTCAAAACCTACCGGACCCCTCTGCCTAATGGTAGAGATGGTCCTGCTCAAACATTACAGATGTGTTCTCTTCCTTCTCTTGCAGAAAGAACAATTTGTAAACCATGCATGAATCATCAGCTAAGTATTCTTTTTGGAATTATTTCATTTACATGCACGTTTAATTGATTAAGGCTAATATGATGTACTAATGTTGTCTTTAATCAGCTGGAACTGTAACGAAAACCAATCTTAAAATCAGACATGCACTGTCTTTGGACAAATTCTTTAAAAATGGACAGAATTGAGTATTTGATTTGGTTTGGTTTTTGCACAACTGCAGTGCAGATCTAAGACCTGCTGTTCACCCTTGGGTGAAAACACCATATCCTTTGTGCTAAATCCAGCTTTTGTACAGCTAAAATGGATGGTCAGGTGCTGAACCAAGGAAAGGGGAAATCAAAATTTTTATAGTAAATGCTGACCCCTGATTCTACCAATGAAGCTAAAGATCATCTCTGGACACTCCCATTACTGAGGCACTAAGGTATCGTTTTTGCAATTGGTCCTCTAGCCACTTTTCAGAGCTATAGGGCAAAGAAAGTTGGATTGTTACAACACTGGGATTGTGTGCATGTGTAATATTTTGGAAGGATGATTGTAGTAAGAGCTTTGGAAGGATGATTGTTGTTTCATCCCTGCCCCCCAGCTGATTTTCTTTTCATTTCTTCTTTTACTAGATACAATCATACAAATATTTACCACTAACTGATGGTGTTCCTGCCATAGGCTACCTAGGGAAGCCAGCCTTATGTCGGCTTTCTATAATCATTGGCTTCCTCCCATACATGGGTATGGTTGTTGTTTTTTTAAAAAAGAGATCCAGAAATAGACACATAATGTCATGAACCCAGGGATGGGGTGGGTCAGAATGCCTACTAAAGGGTGCAGGAAGAATCGTTCTTTTTTAAAAAAAATATTTTTTATTTTTAACAACTAGGGATAAGGTAAGGAGTACAAAAGGTAAAGGGGGATATTTGGGGAAACAAAAGGGGAAAGGAGAACACAAAATGTACTGTCATCCAATCTGTTTGTTCATGTGATATTAAGTCAATTTTTTTGCCTTTCTACAATTTGATTGCCCTCCAGGTTTCAACTTACAGCTACATCTTAGTTTAATTCTGTTACTGAAGCAATATCTGGTGACTCAAGCCATTTATATAATAAATCCCTTTTGTATTGGACAGTCTTTCAACACTTATGATAGAATAGCCATTTCTGCCCCTGCCCATATCTTCTCAATGAGTTTCTCTTGTTTCAGTATCTCCTGATTTCTTCCAGTAAAGAATTCTGGCTGCAGTGACTATATATATATATAAAACTAGGTAGTTCTTTGTCTTATCTATATTATCTGGTATAATGCTCAGTAAAAACAATTCTGGGATTAGTGGAACATTACAAAGCAGTATTTTTTGTAATAGAGCATGTACTGCCATCCAATACTGTTTCGCTACTCTACAAGTCCACTACATATGGTAAAAGCTTCCCTCTTGTGCTTCACACTTCCAATAAACATTTGACACCTCTGTATAAATCTTTGACAATTTTTCCAGAGTCATATGCCACCTATAAAACATCTTATACAGTATATGTTCTCCTTGAAATTTACCAATGTTGTGAGTTTATGTTAATTTTCCATATTTGCAATCCTTGATCAATATCAATATTATGTCCTATATTTTGTGCCCACCTAATCATACATTCTTTTACCATCTCATCTTGCATTTTAGTTTCAAGCAAATAATCATACATTTTATTAATTACTATCATTTGAGCCCAGCAGAAGTTTATCAAATCTCGTTTGTTCGGTATAAAAGCCCCCTATTTTATCTTTTCTATACCTAGATTCCACTTGTCCTCTGGATCACCAGTCTAGATACAGTGGTGCCCCACATAGCGAGGTTAATCCATTCCGGATTAACCTTCGCTATGGGGAAACATCGCTATACGGTTCCAAATGGGCCCAAAACTCACCGTTCTGCGATGTTTCCCCATAGTGGCAGCCATTTTCGCACCCTCGGTAAGGAAGGGCAGGGCGCGAAAACGCTGCGCGTGGCCATTTTGGGTCTTCCGGCGGCCATTTTGGAACCGCCGATCAGCTGATTAAAAAAAAAACGCTATGTGAAGATCAGTAAGTGAAACGTTTACCGATCGTCACTAAGCGATTTTTGCCCATTGGAGCCGTCGGTATGCCTTCACATTAGCGATCCCAAAAAATGGATCGCTATGCAAATTCGTCGTTATACGGTGCGCTCGTTAAGCGAGGCACCACTGTATATGTTTTGTATTTCCAACTCTTCTTTGGACCTTAACTCACAATCATTTTTAATAGATCTTGATATCTTAAAATTTCACTTCTGTCATGAGGTTAGGTTGTATAAAGGCCTATATGGTTGATATGCAGCCTGGTATTTTTTGGTAAATCTGCTGGATGATCTTTTTCCAAGTAGGGCTCTTCTTATCATATGCAAGTTGAAACTTTTCTGCTCTTTATCTTTTTTGTACCATAAAAAAGCATGCCAACCTAACTGTAAATCATGTCCTTCAAACTTAAGTAGTCTATAATTATCTAAAGTTATCCATTCCTTTATCCAGACTAATATATAGGCTCTATAATACAATACCCAGTCTGGGAGATCAAATCTTCCTCTTTGTTTGGCATCTTGCATTGCTTTGATTTTAATTCTTGGTTTTTTACCTTGCCACACAAATCTCATGATTGTCTTAAGTTCTTGAAAAAATGACTGTTTTAATATTATGGGAATTGTCTGAAGTAAAAATAAAATCTTAGGTAGAACATTCATTTTGATGGTTGCTATTCTTCCCATCATCATTAACTGTAATTTGTCCCATCTCTCCAAGCTATTCTGTATCCCTTTAATCAACTTCATATAATTGTCTTTGAATAATGAATTAGT